TTATAACTTATCATACTCATCATACAAAAAGTTTAGTTTTGTATATATTTTGTTTTATAGATTATACAGGGCGAGTCTTAAATAAGTGCAAATAATTTCAGGGGTGGTATATTTCGACCCCAGGAACACGTCTAAGAGGTTTTCTTCGCAAAAGAAACATGTTGAAAATCGTGCTTTTTCTTTAAAATTTCCTGTATATTTTTCGAAAACTTTTTAGAACTGCCTGTTCACCGCAAATTTTCCCACGGTATAATTTTTTAATCTCTAATATTACCATGGTTACGCCACTAAAAAGGATGCAATAGCTTTTTTCGTTTTCCTGTTATTACCGATTCTGAACCGTCCTAGAACTGTATGCGCAGAAGGAAATATGAGGACATTATTTCATTTGCGCATGCGCTGCAGAGTTCTAGGACGGTTCAGAATCGGTAATAACAGGAAAACGAAAAAAGCTAATATTGCCACTTAAAAAAAATTACTGGAAGAGTGAAAAATTCTAAAAAGATGGGAACAAAATACCCTGTCTGGTAATGTGCAAAGGTACTAGTTACTATTACCAAGATACTATGCCATTATGATTCATTTATCTATTTTAGTATAAAAACATACCCCTTTAACCGTTTTGAAGTTCAATTTATTAGAAACAATCAGAACTAAAACTTATACAATTACACCTTTCGGTACTTGCATTATTACATCTCTACTTAACACCTGTAATAACGAATCACGAAGTAACAAATACACAAAACGTGTGTTTTGAGTATAATTGTTTATAGGTACTCGATTTTAAGTGTCTTACCCTATATGGTCTTACCTTGTCAGATAAAATATTGTACGTAATTGTAATTTATATTACAGTTGAAGGTCAAACCTTTGGTGTTACAATAGCAAAATATAACACTAATACACCACAATATACACCAAAACAATTTTCTCTTGCACTCCAAATTTATTGATACTTTGATTGATACATAATCCGTGAAATACAAAATACTTTTTCCCGCTTCATACAAATTACACGAAAAACATTTTTCCTATCTATATGTCTCCTTGTGACATTAAAATATTTCAAAATGATGATCTTAACAAAACGATTTTTCGTTTATTTTAAAATTAAAATAGTTTGACATTGTTTTGTTATTCTGTCGTTCACAGCTGTCGTTGTTGATGTTGATTGTCAGTTTTGACTATGTTTTGACGTAATATGTAATATCTTATTAGCGAGGGGCATTCTTATTTGAGATCGATAGTTATGATCATTGCGCATTACGTACAATATTACAAAAACTACATTTCAACAACATGTAACAATATGAAAAATGTAAGTATAAACCAGAGGTATAAACAAACTGTATCAAGCCACGTTACATTTACACGTTTTCAAACTATAAAGAAACCAAACTTATCGACAGGATTTTTTTAATTTAATAAATTCTGCACGGCCCTACTGCCTACAGCGCCTCTGCCGTAGTGCCGCAGAGCAAATAAAACAGTTGAAACTACTGAATGTTTTGAAACTGTTGTATTTACTAGTTCCTAGTTCCAAAGTGTTTTTAACTTGATACAAATTCTTTTTTATTTATAATTTAAAGAAAAAAATTGCTTTAACGAAGATTCCAAGTAGATATATCAGTCAAGGGTCAAGTCTCTAAAAAAATAAACCAACAAAAGCAAACTTTTACCAAAGGTTTTACTCTTTTACCCATATACCTATCACATATCACAAAGGATGAGCAATAATCTTAAAGGTAGATTTTGTTAGTAAATGGGTACGTTTCGTGAGTGCTTAAGAAAATGGGAAGATTTTTGACATTGTTTTGTTATTCTGTGGTTCACAGCTGTCGTTGTTGATATGTTGATCTTATTAGCCAGGGGCATTCTTATTTGAGATCGATAGTTATGATCATTGCGCATTGCGTACAATATTATAAAAAATACATTTCAACAACATGTAACAATTGTTGTGTTGTGTACAGATAAGGGCAGATTGCACATTAAGGATATAATGAATACTTAATACCATAATAGCATAATATCTTATTTAAATATGAGAGGTAAGTTTTTTTCTTTTTATTGATAACAGTGCTACTAGCAAACACCATTAAACAAGAAACGTGCCTTTGCAATGTGTGCCTTTCGGTGGCTTGTAATAAATATCTACCATTTCAGTGAAATTTTGAAATTTTCAGTTAAAAAATTGAATATCTTAAAAACGTGACATCAGTAGTAGATTAAAATTATTATAGGAACAAATTGCAGAAAAAATCCGGTGGCTCAAAAAAAGCAGTTTTTTTAAATTTTGAAACTTAAATAACTCGATTATTTTGGACTTATTTGAAAAACGGCAAAGAGAAAATATGTTTTTTTTTATCGAGATCTACCAGCCCCGAAAATATTTGCACTTATTTAAGACTCACCCGTATAATAATTACTTTATGTTTTCATAATTTGTATTGTTTTCATATTTTCATATTCATAGGTTGTAGTTGAATGGTGAAAACTGAATAATTAAATACTATAATAATAACTTAACAGTTTTACCATAAATCATCTTTTATACACAATGTACTTTTGAATAAATTAAATAAGGATAACATCCTTTATTTTAATTTTAAACATTCTGTTAGACTATACGTGTTTCTATGACGCGGCTGCAGGGTATATATATTTTCGGAAGATAAAACTAAAAGCTCGTAGTAGGTAAAATTAATTTTATGTGGACTAATTGAAAAAGTTTGTTTAACTTAATAACGCAAACAAATTGTGTGAAATTATGCAACACTTCGCACAAATAAATTAAAAGTAGGACGGCTGCAGTTTATACTTATAAATCAAATTATAGAGGGCGTTTCAAAAAACATATGCCATCTCTCGTGGGGATATTCCCCACGTAAAAATAATATTTACTTTTTATATCAACATAAGTCCGATTCTGCTTTGTTTCATCAGGACCGTCCTTAGACTGTTGGCCGCCTGGAGCAAGCCCGAAAAAATGCGACCCTCCCTTCAGACAATCATTTTTTTATTAGAGCGAAATTTGATCCGAAGAATCAGATGTGAAAAAAAAATATGAAAGTTGTGCCACAGACGGTAAGAAATATTATCAAACGGTTTCCGAAAAAAAGGAAATAAATATTGCAAGATTTTCAGAATTAGCATTTAAATTTTTTATTTAAAAGGAGCATCACATGGTACCTAACAAGAATAAAAAAAACTTTATAAGGTACATTAGCCAAACTAGCACCTAAAACTAGGTAATATAAATTATTATAAATTATTAACAAAACAAAATTCGTAATAAATACATAGACATCCTGAAAAACAAAATTCCTAACATGGACTTTTGTCCATAAAAAAAAATTAAAAAAAAACATAAAAAAAAGTTTATAAAACTTTTTTCTTGCAAACTCTGAAATAAAATCGTCGATATTTAGACTGTTCGCTATTTCGTGCTCAATAGATATTAAAGATAATCCGCTTAATCGTTCAAGCTTGTGTCATACTTGATCTCAGGTAATTCTCAATTATTTTGAGTTTAGAAAAACTTCTCTCGGGTTGCCACTGAAACCGGCATCGGCAGCGTTAATAAGATTCTTATGGAAATGTAAATAATTGGAAAGTTTTCAATCAGATTGTGAATTTTTATATTTTAGTGTTTGTTTTGGACAACTGAAGTTTTCGGCATTATCTGGTCGTATTAGAGGTAAAATCTCGTCCCGAAGCCTAGGCCATTAATATCATGTTTGTCTCCGTCCGTTAAATAGAGATGAAGATCCATACAATGCTTTTTTATTTCCTCTCGGTTGATTTCCTGAGAACTGTGAAGTCGTATAAAAACCAACCTAACCTAACCAAAAGTAGTCCGAGTGAGCTTTTAACAGGTCAAACCTTTCCTGGAGAGCCTCATGGATTGTATCCAGGACAACAAAGAAAAATTCGATTTTAAACTTTTCCTGTGGATCTAAAATTGGTTCACTGATTCATACAAAAACTGTCTAGGTTTCCTGGCCAGTTAGGAAACGCTCAAATCGTATTTTTAATCATATCTCAATTTTTTCAAATGGAACGAGGGTGGCTCATTAGCATATTTGGAAAAAGCATTTTTTTACGAATAATTTGGTACCACACACTTGGTATTTCGAGTCAAATTTTCGTTACGAACCGCAAGTTATAATTTCAAATAAACCATATGCGAAAATGTCACTAGTTGACATATGATATGTCATTCTATTCAGAGTGTTATTTTCTATCGAATAAAGTAAAAAAATACCGAGGGTGCCATTTAAAAATCAAAAGTTGTAGTTATTTCCGGTGAAACAGGAAGTGACCGAAAACAATTGAATACGTCAATCAATCCTAATTTATGGCATATACTAACATACAAAATCTCGTTTTTTTACCTGTGAAAATAAAAAAGTTATAGGGGGTGAGCCACTTTTGAGACGCACCCGGTATAACGGGATAAGTACGCAAATGAAAAATTACTTCATAAATCCATATAAAGAAATAATTGAAAAATGTGGATTTGAATATTATTGTAAAATTTTATCTATTAATTTGTTACAAAAACCGAGGGGGTTTGCTAGTTTATTGGAATATTATTTTTTTGAATAAAAAAGTTGTCAAAATGATTGATAGTGGTCGTTTTACATGGAAAAAGTTTTGATAAACATTTTTGAGCCTATAATAAATAATGGTCTGTAATTGACAGCATATTGAAATTAAAAAGCAAACCAAATTAAAATTTGAGATTAATGAATATATTACACAAACTTTGTTGTTTAAAGTTTCATATTTTAAAAAAGCGGGATATTTAAATCTCAATATGGTAATTACTTTTGGACAATCTGGAAACAAAATAAATTAACTTTGATATAATGCTGAATTATTTAATCTCTATGTATACTAAAACATTCTTTAAGAAATTTAACTAATACATTCCATTTGACAGACACTCTTTAGCAATAAGTAAAACAACAAAAATCACTCTCGTAATCGTTTATAGATTCTTATTTATTGTTAACTTAAATATTTTGAACAACAAAGCTGCAATAATTTATTGCAGTAACAACTAACTTATGCAAAGTTAAATAAATGAAATGTAAATTATTCCTTTTCGTTAGTTTCTGTATTATTCTTCATGGATGACATATAAGTCATTTCAAACAGTTCTTTCTTGTATCTCTCTTCTAGCCCCCTTACTTTCTTTAAACGGTCCTCAGCCAATTTCAGTAAAGAATCGTAAACTTTAGCATTATTTCGAAAACATTTGTCAAAGTCGTTCCTGCTCAATTTATAGACTCTGGAAATTTCTATAGCGACAACAGAAGCACTTCGATGTTTTTCTTTGACAAGGATGGCGACCTCACCGAAATGAGCGCCATCTTGTAAGTGGTTTATTTCCTTTCCAGATGGAGTGAAAACTGCCACGGTGCCGCTTTCTAAGAAGTACATAGACTCTGCCGGTGTCCCAGATTGTGTAATAATCTCATTAGGTAGAAAAATTTCGGGAACCAAATAAGCTACCACTTGCTCCACTTCTTTTGGAGATAATTTGGAAAAAATTGTAACCGAATTAATCAGCGTTTTACAAAGAAATACGTCAATTTCTTTTTTAAGATTTTCCGAAAACATATTCTTGATGAACCGTTCATTAAAGAACACTCTCTGATATTTGTACGTGTAATATGTAATTAGTCGTCTTTTCAGGTCCTGCGAAATCTGTTTCGCTTTTATATACTCTTCTAATTCTTTCATGACTTCTCTGAATTTAATTCTGACGGAGTTTTGAGATACAAAATTGTGCAACAAAATGATCCAAGTAACGGTGAGCATTAATTTTCCAGCGAAATAGTTGAAACTAGCTACACTAACTTCCTCTACTAATTTGTAAGGAATGCTAATATTCGGCAAACTGATCAACATAGTATATTGTGCTGTTCTGAAAAAAGTAGTTATATATTGCGTCCTTAATCCTTGCTTCATAAACTCTTGCGTCAGCCATGACTCTTTGTGATGTAGACCTGTCATTATGAAGCGGTACTGAGGTACGCCCACGTGCAAGCATGTCATAAAGTGCATCGTAAAAAGAGTAAACAAGAAAAATGAGATTATGAACACTTTTTGCGGTCCCATAGTGAAATAAGTTGCCATTGATTTGAATGAAACGAAAAAAGTGATCATACGCATTAGTTTCAGTAAAATGCATGTTTTCAAAATAAGATATGGAATTTTTGGAATTAAAGGGTAGCTAAAGAATACTTCCGGAACGCCAGAGAGCACATCACAAAAAAATAAGCCACTAAATATATACTTTTTTGCAATTTTTATACGAGATAACTCGATACGCTTTGTCTTAGGCACAGCGTAACCAGTAAAAAATTCCAAAATGACGTTAACACCAGATATAACATCGAAAATTAGCACCATCATCATAAGAGGTCTGCTCATGTACATCGCTTCGGCGCTTATGAAGCTCCAATCTAATAGCTTAAGAATTACCAGAGGTCCATAAAAGAAAAAAGCAAATATGTCGTACATCTGCTTAAATATACTCAGAGGATGAATGGTATATGGGTAAAAATACACTTGGCGCTTTTTTTCGTTGAGCAATGCCACTTCGCTGTTGAAATATTCCAAAACAATGGGATGCCTCTCGCTGACCAACGAGATACGTCTAAACGATAACTTGAAAGCCTGCCAACCAGATGCACCGTGTACGTCCGGTGGAAAGACTATTTCGGAATTACGACTTATCATATCAGAATGTTGATCCAATTTCATGTTGAAAGGCTACCTAAAAATTAATTTTTTGTTAATATGTACTAAATACATAAACCAGAACGTTGGTTAATACTAAATTATTAAATATGCTTAATACCTGAATTATAGATTAATTTATTTTTAGAATCTTGAAAATTGTTATAAAAATACTTAGTTATTTAAGTAAAGTAACTTATATAAGTGACAAAGTTTTATTGACAGTTGTTATGTTCTATTGCAACCTAGGTAACAATACTTAAATTGCTTTCCGAATATACAGGGTGGTCCGAACTGTATTCCGGAAACTTCGGCAGTATATTCTGCAGATAAAAATAAGTAAAAAAGTTCGTATAAATGTATGTCCAAAAATGCTTAGTTTTGGAGATACAGGATGTAGAAGTTTCATTTTTATTTCGATTTTTTCCAAATAATGTCGGAAGTAACGTCAATATTTGGATGAAAATTTGTGTCTGGGAGTTTTTTGACATGAGAAATTTGATTTTGATGTCAATATGACTCCTGCTAGTAGAGGGCGCCACCTACATATTTTTTAACTGGTTTGAAGAGTAATAACTTTTCATCCGTACCTGTATAAAATTACTGAGTAAAAAAATATACATTTACGACGTTATTTACGTGACCAAGGTCTCGCTACGAGTAATGGTTTTCGAGATATTTGGAATCGAAATTATCAATACCTGTCATCATTGACATAAATTAAACATGTTGACTAAATATTTATTAGACTGAAATAATAAATTTGAAATGTTTTTGTGCCAAAAATTCAACAGAAACTGTTTTATCATCATTTTTTGCAGAAAAATTTATGATTAATTTAAAAAATAAAAAATTTCCCAAATTTATTATTTCAGTGAAGTAACTATCTATTCAACGTGTTTATATTTTTGGTCAATAATGACATGTATTGTCTATTTCCTTTCTAAATATCTTAAGAATGGTTACTCGTAGCGATTTTTACAAAGAGATATTTTTTACGTAAAAAGTCACAGAGATGTATATTTTTTCACTCGGCTGTTTTATACGGGGACGGACAAAAAGTTATTACTCTTCAAAACAGTTAAAACACATGTAGGTGGCGTCCTCTACTAGTAGGAGTCATATTGACACCAAAATCAAATTTCTCATATCAAAAAACTCTCAGACACCAATTTTCATCCAAATATTGACGTTACTTTAGAAATTATTTGGAAAAAAATGAAATATAAATGAAAATTCTACACCCTGTATCTCCGAAACTAAACATTTTACGACCTACATTTATTCGAACTTTTTTACTTGTTTTTATCTGCAGAATATACTGCCGAAGTTTCGGGAATATAGTTCGGACCACCCTGTATATACAAAATTTATCGTGTTCCGGACTAAACACAGAGTCTTCAAACTTTTTTTAAGATTTCGGGAGAATTTCGAGAGAATCGGGAAATTTCCCACTAGTTAGTATCACTGAATGTGTGTCTTTTTCAAAAGGAAATATTTAAAAAAAAATATCTATTAGGAAGAATCAAAACCCCAAGACCCAGGTGAGAAAATGGAGACAGATCCTCCAGCCTCCACCTCACGGGTTCCTCAGTCGGAGGCAAGTTCCTCGACTATGAAGAGCGGCACGGAGCGGAGGGCCAAACTCCAATCGTGGAAGGGTGTGTACCCTCAGAGGAAGAACTGTTGTCAGAGGAGGATGGGAAATACCCTGTCGCCTCTACAACAGAGGTATGCTAGGTTATAGATTGTGTGATGACTCAAGGAAGGGGGGTACAGTAGATCTTTAACGTCGCAGTGATTAACCCCCCCTCTTACACATTTCTACATTCTACAACCAAAAACCCAACTATCGAGAAAGAATGCACCTAGATGATAAAATTATTTTTAAATTTCTTGATTTGTCGACGTATTCCACAGGGTGTTTTAAACTTTCACCAAAATAGCAACATTTTGTTTTCCCTTGTATAATTGGCAGATGAGAACTTTTATTCTTAATTTAAAAAAAGATACTAAAAATGAAATAATTTAGCTACACAAGATTGACAAAAAAACTCTCACTGTTAGGTCTTTATTATGTATCTATAGCATAAATGAAATGATAATATTAATTTTTTGTGAAAGCGTTTCGAAATTGACAGTTTTTGATATTTATTTGAGATTCGAAACGACATTCTTTTAGGCACTAGTATCTAAAAGTGACACTTGTTTAGACACTAGTACCTAAATGTAAAAAATGAAACGTTTGAAATCTTCACACTAATAAATGACTGACATTCTTTAATGGCATCTACTGTCAAAAACGTGATTTCTTCCCTCCTATATGCTCCAAATACTCCAACGATTAAGACAACTTTAGCTAACAGGAATTCTTCGTCATCGGCTTCTTTCATAAAGCGTTATCTATTTCCAGTTTTGTAAATACTTTTGATTTATTTGCCTGATACCCGGAAGCTTTTCTTTTTAAAAATGCAATAAGGCTTGTGAATTTGCTAATATCTACGTTTCTGTTCAGGTAAATCATGGTGCGGAGAGAGCATCGAATATTTACTCCACAGAGTTGACGGCTTTAAGGTAGTGGATAGTGAGGTTGGTAGCGAATATTTCCATTCGAATTTTGCAGGAAATTTCAGAAATTTTCGAAATATTCGGTCCCAAAATCGCGAATATTCGCAAAAATCCGAATTTTGCAAGAAATTTGGTTTAGTCAAAATTTAACGAAAGTATGCCTATTCTAAAAGCAGATGAAAAAGAATGCTTCTCCGCCGTACAAAATAGGAAAGGTATGGCTCTTAAACCAATGCATTTTGCCGCGAATTTCTTGGACCCATGTTTCCTGGAAGAGCACCTTAACAATGAAAAGCTTATGGAATTTATCAACATATCAACAATATCACCAACAAACATCCTCAGTTTGTCAATAATAAAGAAGCCATTTGTACATATGTAACAAATTATTGCGTCAAATCTTAAGTCGTAATCGTATTTAAATATTTCAACTGAGTATAGAAATACTCAGTTGAAATATTTAGCTGTTGCTCTGCTGTCTTTACCAACGTCATCTGCAGCCACTGAGAGAAGTTTCAGTACTTACAGTTTTATCCATACTAAACAAAGGAATCGCTTAACTGCACAAAGAGCCGGCAAAATAATGTTCTTAGCTCGTAACAATAAATTATTACTACACAAACAAAAAGTGGATATGGAGCATAATATTCAACATGAAACTCCTCCAGAACTACTAGGACCCGTAGAGGTAGAGGTCCATCCTTCAGAATCAGATCCAGATGACACATCAAATATATCTGATTTGGAAATAGAAATTGACGAAGACAGTACTACTACTACTATAATACAATATATGAATAGAATAATTCAGTTATTTTTGTTTTACATTTTTTAAATTTATATTTGGTGCTTTTTTGTTTTTTTTTAAGTTCATAGTCATAGTTCATGGTTTATGTACAAAGTACAAATGTTACCAAATGATTTTTGTTATGTGTTATGTTTATGACTTTTATGAGTTATGTATTGTTTATTAAAAATATAACAACTAATATTATGTTTATTGTTTTTTTTTCACTTTCATATTGGTATCAAATGTCTATCTAATTTATTTCTTTATTGTATCAACAAAAAATATGTAAAATTGTAAAATTTCCTAAAATTTCATAAATTTCTGAAAGCTTCCGAAAGTTTCGGAAATTTCCTGCAACAATCAAAAATTTCCGAAATATTAACATCACTAGCAGTGGATAACTTCAGGAAATAGGTTAGCAATACTTTGTCTGTGAAATTCTCAACATGTTTTTCTTTGACCCAGGTTTCAAAGTTGTTGTAGGTGGTCTCGTATAAGGCTTCTCGGGCACTAACGTGTATAACGCAGTTTCAGCAGCTTGTTGAATATCCAAAGACTCGTCATTAACACTCATTTTTTCACAAGACTTTGTAAGAAATACGGCGACGTTTGAACCTGACAGAACTTTGTCAAACAATGCATAAACAATGCCTTAGAAACCGATTACCAGGACATTTTAAAAAATGTTTAAAAATAAATAATAGTAATAGCATTAAAATCTCAAATTATCCGCTTTCACAAAAAATCTTGTATAAAATTCGTTACGAAAAGAGTGTTTTAAGCAATCGACGCATTGTCCAACTTGGCTTTCGCCGCGTTGGACAATTTTGCGTTCCGTGCTTAAAACACATTCATTTCGCAACTTGTTACATAAATAGCTATTACTCAATTGTTGCGGTTATACGAATTTTAAATACACACTAAAAGTAAACTACATAGTCTGAGTTGTATAATATTAATATATATTTTTTTTCAGATGGCTTTCCTCCAGAGCCGCTCAATATCCTTGGTGGACATGTACATTGACAATTCGGAACCGTCAGAGAATGTTGGACAAATTCATTTTTCTCTGGAGTACGACTTCCAAAACACCACACTTATTCTTAAAATTATGCAGGTAAGTCTTACTCTCTCTATTTTACCAAGAAATTGATGTGAATATGTTTAAAAAATATCTTGGGACACCCTGTATACAGCAGTGCTTCCCCTAAACAAATTACAAAACATCATCTTCTAAAATGTATTTTTTGAAATATGGAACAATTAATTTGGTTTATATTAAAAATGCTAAAACATTACTTTAATTTCTCCAAAAAATCCTGTATGGGTATTTCGCCATAAAATTTACTTTAGAAGTAGAGAGAGGTAATCGTTTGCCATTTCTTGATGTTTTAGTGTCAAAGTTTCAAAATAAACTAATTTTAGATGTTTACAGAAAACCCACAAATACCAGATAGATACTTAAATTTCACATCTAATCACAGTATAAGTATAAAAAAAGGTATTATAAAAAGTTTACATGATAGGGCAAAAATAATATGTTCAGACGACATTTCACTAAACAGAGATATAAACCACATAAAAAATACATTAATAAAAAACGACTATGCACCATGTTTTATTGAGAAAACATTAAACGAAATACAAACCCCAAATCATAGACACAATGATAACAATAAACAATATACCTATACAACTTACAACTCCATACATTCAAGGCGTTTCGGAAAAAATATGAAAGATAGGAAAACAATATAACATACGAACATCTTTCAAAACACAAAATACACTTAGATCCATTTTATCACATACTAAACCAATGAATACCAGAACAACAAACAAAAAATGTAATATATAAAATGCCATGCGAATGCGATACATTTTACATTGGTGAAACATCTAGACCCTTAAATGTTCGAATTAAAGAACGTAAAGATTATTTAAGAAAAGGAGATTTTCACAAATCTAAGATTTGTCGCCACTCATGGGACACAGGGCACAGAATAAATTTTAATAACGCCAAAATTATAATGAATAAAGCGATAGCCTCTAAAAGAAAAATAAAAGAGGCTTTTTTAATACAATCTAATAAAAATAAATGTATTGCTCATGCATCTGTAGATGTTAGTAATGTATGGCAATCGCTTCTTTGATTTAAAAAAAGGCCAATTTTTTTGAATTCAAGATTATTCTCTGATTTTGCTTAATATTAATCTATTGAACTAAGTAAAACATTAGAATAATAGCCATAACAAGTTTTTAGTTTAAAGCAGGGTTGGCATGATTTAATCAAATGGTTGGCATGATTTAAATCAAATGATTTAACGTTTTTCTTTTCATCTCTTCTTATGGCCTTGGACCATTTTTTTCTGTTTTCGCTCATCCATTACTATTTATAAATATCACTAATAACTAATAATGTTTTAATTAACACAAATAACTAAAATTTTGACTCGGATTCAACAGCGTTTAAAAGCAAACTGTGTAAAATAAACACGCGTCTGGCTCCACTCAACCAGAAGAACGGCGGGTGACGTCACAGCGGCAAGGCGCGGTAGAGAGCGTTTGCCGGATCATTTAAATTAACAATATTCAATTATTTTATATTAGAGGCATTTCTTAACCGATAACAACGATTTTTTTTATTCAATTTGTAATTATATGAACTATTTTTTAAAACCATTATTTAAAAACATGCATTTTCCTCATTTAAAGAGGTTGTACGAGAATCGCCCAATTAGTGGATGTCGGCAACCGGATTGCTCAACTATTTTTATTATTTAGTACGTGAACAGGAGAGTGTTGGAAATTCTAATTTCAGGTGTAGATACCGAAAATTATCGTTAGACATTCGAATATAATTTTTAAAATCATCGTGATGTTCCGTCCTAAGTTCATGAACGAAGGATATATGAGAAAACTGATTTCTTTTAAGCAATCAATTTCTACTCCAAAACCTCCTCTTTTTCTTTTCTTTTTTTGTCGTCGTTGCTTTTGGATTAAAATCACTATTACTGCTGCCGCCGCCACCATATCCATCATCTCCATTATCTTCAATCATATTTACACTTCATGTACTCAAGCACTCTACTAAAAAAAACAGCAACTGAAATTAATTTCCAGAAAAATTGATTGACAACCAAATTGCTTGAATGTCGCCTTATAAATGGTCCGTTGCAAGCAACCAAATTTTTTAGAAATTTAGAAGCAATTTTATCGTTCAACTTGGTTGCTACAAAATCGCCCAGTGAATTAAAATCATTATTTAAATCGTAATTTAAATCAAGTGATTTTTTTAATTTTATTCGTGTGATTTAAATCAAAAAAATAATTTTATTGAAACTTTATAATAAATCAAAAAATAACTGTAAAAGTTATAAAAATCTATCCTAGAAAACTATAAAAAATATTTTTATAACAGATAATAAATTGAAAAATAATTGTAAATTTTATAAAACTATATAAAAATATCTATTCATCAATTTAAATGTTGAACCGATTTTTGAAGTAATTTCGTGTGAATCCATAAGACCGCTAAACGCAGGAATTTTCTTTAAAATTTATTTATAAGTGACAAAAATTCGGTTTTCGAATACGCATTCGCCGACTACTGCCAGAACTAGGTTCTTCTGATATAGACTATATCTTCATTCCCTAAAATCTATAATCGTTGTCAGAAAATATGTTGTTTTATATTTTTTTTGAAACGTTGGTATGTGTCCAAATTCTTACCGACATTTTGATTTGCAGTAAGTACTTTACACTTTGACATTAGATAATACTATTATCTAATGTCAAACTACTACTCATTCTCGACTTAAGACTATTTCCGAACAATAGTGAATAGTAATAGTAAGTGATAGTAAGAAATTATACTTTTTTTGACGATGCTGTACATTTGAAGGACCATCGTAAAGCTATTTCGACGTTACAAGGAGGTACAACAAGTACATTTTTACTCCGAATAAAACACTATTTTTTAAAACATTACAAATAATTTTAATCAATTTCAAACATTGCAAATAATACAATCAGTAATCGAGAAACGATTTGTACACTCGTTGAATTTGACACCTAATATCAGTTTAATAATATATTTTTGTACTTTTGTGCTTAGGCGTAACAGTGCTTTACTTTTATGCCTATAGCCGTTAAAATGAAAAAAAAATAATACTTTTGAGACGTTTGAAAAGTAAATCCTTTTGATCTGAAGCGAGCGACTTTTTTGCGAAATATATTGGTGAACAATGTGGAAAAATGACGCGGCCCCGTAGAATTGTTAATGTTATCGGTATCGCTCAGAGTGATTAAGATTTAGCCATTTAGGATAGGACTTTAATTGGAAATAAGTCCTAGTCATTTAGAAATCCGATTTAAATATTGGTTTGAATTAAAATCAAAAAAATCTGATTTAAATTAAAAAAATTCGATTTAAATCAAAAAAATCTGATTTTTTTGATTTTTTTAAAAAAATCATGATTTTTTCCAACCCTGGTTTAAAGTAATATTAAATATTACCATATAACTGCCTTAAAATATTCCCTCGATATTCTACTAAATAGTAGTTTTCAAAATTAGAATGATATATTGAATATACCAGAAAATAATACATTATTAATAGTATCCTATTTTTTCTCGTAAAAGATTGGATCTATTCAACAGAGTTTTCAAAATGGAGTCGAAACTTTCTGAAACAACTTCTTTTTCAACTGGTTTTATTAAAACTTGCGAGTTTTAGAGACTTTAGCATTTTAAAACGAAATATTTCAAATATGAAATAACTTTTTCTTAAGTAGTTTCGGACGGACGCTGTTTAGCTGATCTGAAGTTTTTAAAAATTTAGAATTATTATGTTGGAGTTTGAAAAATAAACTTTTTTCTGTGGATAAATCGAATTATAATTTACTTTGTACATTTTTAAAAACATCTAAAAATTAATATGTCAGGTATATACGTATGTATAATAATCTATGTTTTGCTAAGTGCTTTAACATTTGACTTTCCAATAGGACCAATAACACCCGAGACCGAACTGTGACCACTTCTCCATAGGAATAATATATAGAGGGAGTTTCAAAAAATCATCCCCACTTACTCACACTTTTTTGAGCTATCCTATAGAAGTTAAAATATTTTCCTAAAAAACATCATAACACATACTTTAGGTTTGGTTTGGTTTGGTTTTTATTTTCCTAAAAAACATCATAACACATACTTTAGGTTGACACTTATACAAAATTCCTAAATTTTTATATTATAGGGGCTACAGACAGGGTTCGGAAAACTACATGTTACTTTTAAAAACTACATAAACTACATTACATGTAGTTAATGTAGTTTATGTAGAGGGTGTAGTTTATGTAACCTATGTATGTAACTTTCAAATATCAAAGGTTTGAGGTGAGGTTATAATAAGTTGAAGCTTTAAAAAACAGAAGAAATATGGCTTTAAATATAATATTTACATCATATTATCTCTATTACACCTAATACAAAGGAAAATTATTTCTATTATCAATACATAGTTTATTAACGTAGTTTTCGTGTAGTTAATGAACGGGAAAAGACGTAGTTTTTGAAGAAAAACTGCACATAGTTAATCAGATAAATTACGTCTTAATTAACTACTTCCGAACCCTGGCTACAGATGCCCGACGCACTGTTGCCGGGCCCGTAGAAAAAAACTTTGAACCGTAACAACCCCTATTTGCGGCATGTTTTTAATATTGTAATCGCAAAACATTTTCCGATGCACGTCATCAATCATATCGACATTGAAACTAAAGTCTATAAACCTGACTAAATGAAAATCTGGCAAAAATGTTTAAATTTGTTGTATATGTAATTTAAGATACCGATACGTTCATCTTACTTTATAGAGCAGATGATTGTAACAGATATTTTATTTAGATTAAAGGTGCAAAAATTAGTTTAAACCGAATTTTATTATCGCTATGTTGGTCACACTGCGCCGTTTTCAGCAAGGTTGTCGTTTATTATTTGACAATTATCCTAATGTCAGTCACTATTTTGTATAATATGGTGTTGATGTTGAATCTTTGTGAGTAATTCTCGTTTTTTGCCTAATAGTCTTTTTAAAAAATTGTACTTTTAAGC